TTGTGGTTTCACTTTGGGGCTCATGATTCCCTCCAGACTTGGATCAAATAGAGTTTGTTTTACTCTGGAAAAATGCCAGATAGTTGACATTTCACTGCCAAAGGACAAAAAACTCCCACCGAAACATATTACCAAAATGTCCAAAAACGTACCCAACATTTATCTTAAAGTTTGTCCATGGCAGGTGTTGAAACGAAGGCTAGAGGTCAAACAATTTTCTCAACCCACAGAGGAATATATTATCCACTTATAGACATTTACTCCACCTTAAAGGCAATTTCATACCCAAAAGGTTCCAGCGAGATATTCATTTAGTCTGTGGTTCTAGATGCTTGGCAACCTAACTACTAACATGCTAGCAGCCAGCAACATGCTAGCACTAGTTGGTCACAATAACTCCCTGAGCTTCTTTTTATTTTCTCTGTACTTCTCTTACCCCGAAATTTTGTTTGCAAAATCAAAACAAAAAAATAGCGAGCTAGCTAACTGTCAGTTTATACTCCGACAGAGGAGAGTTAAATAAAAGTGTATAATCCAGCTCAGCTATTAAGACACCATACTTTGTCTCTGTCAGATTCTCCAGCTCTCTGACAGCACTGTCAGATCAGCATACCAAAAAATTTGAACTGATTTACTTTGCTTCTATGTATGTAAGTCCATTTCTGTGTTTGGGGAAAAAAAAGATTGTTAACTATTTATCATGAGAAACCTTCCAAAAACCTCCAAATAATAACTCGCTATCTCAAAATAATGACCAATTTTCTCAAAATAATGACTTAAATTATCTTGGGATACTACCTCATTATTTTGGGATACAACCTCGTTATTTTGAGATAGTAACTCATTTTCTTGGGATATCAAATCATTATTTTGAGATACTACCTCATTATTTTGAGATACCAACTTATCTTAGGATGTCAAGTCATTAATTTGAGAAACTATCTCATTATTTTGAGATACCACCTCATTATCTTGGGATTTCAAGTTATTATTTGGGGATACTACCTCATTATTTTGAGAAACTACGTCATTATTTTGAAGAAACCACCTCATTATTTTGAGAAACTACGTCATTATTTTGAAGAAACCACCTCATTATTTTGAGATACTAACTTATCTTGAGATATCAAGTCATTATTTTACAACAAAGCCTCACTATTATGAGAAACTACCTTATTTTGAGATACTACCTCATTATTATGAGAAACTACCACATTATCTTGGGATACGTCCTCATTATGAGATACTAACTCATTATCTTGAGATAGTACCTCATTATTTTTGGGATACTACCTCATTATACCACATTGTCTTTGGAATACTTCCTCATTATTTTGAGATGCTAACTTTGACAAACTACCACATTATGTTGGGATACTTCCTCATTATTATGAGATACTACCTCATTATCTTGGGGTATGACCATATTATTTTGACATACTACTCATTTTGAAGAAGTACCTCATTATTTTGAGATACTACCTCTTTATCTTGGTATATCAAGTCATTATTTTGGGATACTACCTCACTTTTTGAGAAACTACCTTATTATTTCAAGATACTACCTCATTATTTTTAAATTCTAACACACTGTTTTGAGAAACTACCACATTATCTTGGGATGCTTCCTCATTATTATGAGATACTAACTCATTATCTTGGGCTACTAACTCATGATTTTGAGATATTACCTCATTATATTGAGATATGACCACTTGATTTTGGGATACTAACTAATGATCTTGGGATATCAAGTCACTATTTTGGGATACTACCTCATTATTTTTGAGAAACCAAGTCATTATTTCAAGAAACTTTCTCATCATTATGACAGGATACTTTCTTCATCAAAGTGGCACAAATGAGCTTCCATACCAGTGAGCAAATCCACTGATCGCACCAATCCCACTGAAATAACTGATGACACTGAGAAATGTTTGCCATTTAAAGAGTTTTTCAGACTGAGAGTCAAAACAGTTTCAAACATTAGAAAGCTGGCAACTTCCCATGACATTTGTCCTCGTGATATGCTGTAAACCGCAGCCATCTGTCCCAAAACAGAGGCTAAAACAAACCACCAAAACTAATTTCTGTTTAATCCAAGTCTGGTTCATGATCCTAATTGAATCTGAGTTTAATTCATTTTTAACAAAGAGGTAAAACAGAGGCACAGCTTGAAAGCTACATCCGGTGTGTCAGCATCAGCCAAGCTAGTGCAGATTCTCCATGAATGTTACATTTAGGCTGTCAGATGTAACCTGTGCGTCCCATCTAGCATCTCCAAACACAGGTGACTAAGCAAGTCTCACACATCGTTGTGCGTACAGGAGAACTGTGTGCCAATAGGATCTGCATCACATTCCTATGTGAAATGGATTTAATTATCTCTCTGGGATCGATTAGTTTGGTGAGTCGCATCTCTCCCCCTACACACACACACACACACACACACACAGTGCTGCAGTTCACCAAGCTTGCCAAAAGTACCAAACTCCATCCATCTCATGCTTCCAGCTTCAGAGTAATTTAAAGTATTTCACTTAATAATTGATGCAAGTGTTTCACCGTACGGCAGTTCCATCGATGCAGTGATTGAGCAAAAAGAGAGACGGAGAGAGGGAGGTGGTCAGTTTGTTTAACAGCCGTGACCTTCACACAGTCGTCTGACATTCGTGAAACGACCACAAACATGAAAATAAAGCTAATTTTAGAGAGACGGAGAAAACAGCATTGCAAGATCTCCGTCTGCAACACAGCATCTATAAATGGAAATAGAGCATTAGCTTCATATTTAGGTTTGTCCTACTTCCATGATCCACTCCTGCTGAAATGTCTTTATGGAAAACCCCAGCTGGCCCCGGCCATATTCCTCTCACATACAGTACAATGTGCTATTTGTTGCTTTGAAATATTTAGTTTGAGTTATTCTGCAAACCATTCAGAGCCCCACCACCTGTCTCTCTGTCTCTCTTTCTCTCCTTTGTGGCTTTTTGTACACAGCAAAATACAGTTGGACATTATTGCGAAGGAGTTTTTTTTTTTTTTTTTCAGTTCCAATAAGGCCAAAAACAAAAACAAAAACAAAAGACAAACAAAAAAGACACAAGAGATTCTGCCTGTTCAAATAAAGTGGTCGACAGAGTAGTGTAGCCGTTGTTCTGCTAACAACTGCTGCAAAAACAACTGATTGTTTGCTGCTGCCAAGAAACAATAGAAAAGACTTCTACGCTAAGTTTTAATGTACACTATAGAAAATAATCTTAATACCTGCGTCTCCTGAGCGCCATTTTCAAAGTGTTCTTTGCTTGTCGTCTGTCGTCGTGGTTTATTTGGTAGAAAGCGTTTGAATTTGGAAGCGACTCTCTGTCGTTACATGTATGTTTTTATTTCTAGTGTAGAGATGAGTGAGTTTATAGTTGCAGCCCATATAGTTGCAGCCCATACCATTTCCATGAACTCTTTTCCCAAAGCCAGCACACCTCCCACACATGTATATTAGCAGCATGCCAGGAGCTTAGTCATGGTACCTCTCTGTGAGGTTGTGCAGAGGAACACCAGTGAAAACTATCTCCGTAGATCATTTAAATGCAGATAGAGGTTGGCAATAAATCCGCTCCCCTGCTCGTCCTCACTACATCCTCTGTACATTAGGCGCCATTATTACCCAGATGTTATTAACATTAGCTGGATTTAACTTACATGATGCCCTTTCAGTGGGGAATGACTTCATCCTGATTGGGTGCAAGGTGGACGTGACCTGAGGTTACGTTAAAGCGCGTCTCGCCCGGCGTTTCTATTTCACGCCGCGTCACCTCGCCTCTCTCGCTTCTCATTAACCCGCCGAGCCTTCAGAGGAACCCCGGGGCAGAGCTGCGCTGCTTCTTCGAGGCGGGGCATTTGTGTGTGTGTGTGTGTGTGCAGCAACTGCTGACAGGCTGCAAGTAGGGAAGTGAAAATAGAAGGCGTACAGCACAGTCCACAGGAATTTAGACCATCTGATGCTCATGTTTACAGTATTATTATAGATTTCTGTGGCCATATTGTTCAGATAGGCGTTTGCCGTTTCCCCTGCATGTATGATTACTTCCTGACCACGTGACTAAGGGCTCATTTATGCTCAGCATTAGATACGGACACGCACAGAGCCTTCTGTGCAGACTCTGCATTCATTTCGTCTGTGCCTTGCACATTTCTGAAAGCTTACAGATATGGATGAAATGGAGCAGTACCACAGGAGATCATGGAGGCAGTGTAGCACAGTTCAAGAGCGATACAGCCGTGGGAGATGACAAAAACATTTAATGGCGGAGCAGAACAAATCTTTAAATATAGACCCTTTTACTGTTAGTAAATAGTATGTTGTTTTTTGGTGGGCGGGGCTTAGCTGGAGGCAAAACAGTTCTCTGCAGACATTAGCCAGTTCTAGCTAGCAAGTTATGTCAGCTTGTTTTAGACAATGGAGGAAGATGATGCGAGTGGTGCGTTCAGAAATACTCGCTCAGAGTGTTGGAGCGCATACTGGCACAAACTGGACCGTTCGTAAATTCATAGCTCTGTCGGAAAGTACCGTTCAGTTATCCAGAGCACCGCACTCTTGGATTGGCAGAGTGCACTCTGGACACTCTGTCTGGGGAGACGGAGCAGCAGAGCACCAAGTGGAGTAAATTTGTAATTAAATTAAATGTTTGTTAATTCACATAGAATTAGGCTCTCATTTTAGTGTAGAGCATCAGACTGAATTTACGAACGCACCATGTCAGGTCACTCACTCTCCGAGACCACGAGTGTTACTCGAAAAAGTAAACACTGACCAACGGGACCAGACTGGCCGACCCGTATGCTCTCACTCAGTGGACGGATGATGTCACAGGAAGCTTTGTGGTTGATCACTATGCCAATCTTACAAAGGGAATCGACACTTGCACGGTTTCCTCCAGTTCGCTTTGCTATCGAAGCTAACATTAGCTAACCACTAATAAGTTAGCGTTACAGAGAAATCCGATTTTCCTCTTAATACCTCCCCAGTTTCTGATGAGGTGGACATGATAACCCTTAATACACATAACGTTATTCATCTCTACAACAGTAAATGCCTTTTCTGTAACATGCAAGCATTTTTGATGATCACCTTCATCCAGTCCTTTCGTCTTATCGCATTTAACCATAATTGTCTAGCTGTAGCTATAGCTGTTTTTGTTAACGGGCAGTGGCAGCTGATACAATAAAATTTAAGTTTTGAGCCATGACTCCTTCTATTCTGGCTCCCAATAACACAACAAGACGACATATTTATTTATGCATACTATGGAGCCTACAGCCCTGTGGTGGAGAGTCGTGTTTTGCCTCCAGCTAACAAATTGATGTCATTGTGTGTGGCCTTAATAGTTATCGTTTGTTAGCGAAGTTGTGTATTTGTGTTGAATTGTCATTAGGAATGAATACAGTACAAAAATATACTTACAGTAATACTAGGTTTTTTGGTGGGTAGGGGTTGGCTTGCCGAAGGTACCACATGATCTAGGTCTGGCACTGATAGCAGTAATGTGACTGTGGCAACCTGTACAACTTGAATCCACTGTAGCCATCCAAAGCCGTCTCCATGAAAAATGACCCGTTCAGTATGGATTGTGCTCAGCTCTAGCTAATGGATAATCAATCGGGCAATGGAGTTGGAATGCTGTCTCTAAATTTAGAGCCGAAGAGGCGATACGCAGATGTAGATAATCGCCGAGGTCCCGTCTGCCTCTGGAAAACATCAGCTGCTTTCACCTTGCCCGTGTCAGAAGGCGTGCTTTACCGGCACTCATGGGGGCCATACATTGTTTTCCTCATGCATAATTTCTGAGATACAAGAGAGGCCAGAGAACGGCGGAGGGTAGAAAGGATGGGGTCACAGTCGCGCTGTAGGACCTTGAGTGGGTATTTAAGAACAATTTGAGCATGATTGGAGTCATTTTCTGTCGGTGCTTGCTTATTTTACTTCACTGACAAAGGGTTTTCAGTGTCTTGGTGTCAGTGTGGCCTTCATTTTAAATGTCTTTATGTAAATATCTTTAAACAAAGGTGGAAATATTAGCTACTACCTGAAGAATTCAGCAAATTAAAGGCATGAATGTGTAAAATGAAGCCTTACCATCTCAAATTTGACACGTGAGCTGGTGAAAGCTTCTTGTTTGACATTTGCTACTCTTCAAGCACAATATGGGAGTGATTTCAAAATAAAAGCTGCTCTCTGAGTCACAGTGATAGCCTTAATTGGACAAATTCTGTCTTCTCAAGACTGATTCATGCAAATAACCCAGCAGAAATGATTTAAAATACCTTTATCCATCATGTATGTGTGAAAATAATCCATCAGTCAACACTGCATCTGTTGCAAAAAAGCACCAAAACTCCAGTCAAGCCGGAATGGCCCTTTAAAACCCGTCTCACAGTCCCTATCAAGATGGTGTGTAGAGAACAGCGTAGCCTACTTTCCGGCGCTCTCCCCCCCGCAGCAGAGAGCATTCCCAGGGTAGCAGCACTCTGCAGTGGCGCTGTCCTTGGTGCTGAATTCAGCTCTCTCTACTTCACAGTCACGGCGCAGCGGCTGGCTGAGAAACCCGTTTTTTTTTCTCTCCTCCCTCAGACCAGGAGCAGATTTGATTTCATCACACCAAGGACGACACGCGCTGGACTAAATGTGGAAACCCCTCTCTAGGTTTTGCAAACCAGTCGGGGGTTATCTATGTGTTAGGGAGCCTGGTGGACCAGCTTGTGTGTGAGGAGGAATGCTACATGATTAGGAGGAGCACATTTTTTTTATGCCAGCTTCATGCATTGAAATGTGTTACTGCATTTGACAAAATGCAGATTGTGCTGTTGGCATTGGGAAAAGTCAAAACGGGCTTGGCAGACGAGCTATGTTAATGATCACGAACACCATCCAATTTCCAATCTCAGCACATAAGAGTTAATTATTGTTGCACTCTCTGTCTATAAACTCATTAATGACTTAATCTGCATCAGATCAAGGGAACATGGTCGTTAAAATGTGTTTCAAGGGAGGAAATATTCTTGTTTTCCCGTCAGGAGAAGACTGCAAAGATAGCTCGTTGAGAATACTCAAGGTCATTCGTTGTGTATATTTAGCTCATTGTATTTTTATCCACTTAATTTCAAACACATCAGTGAAAACACACACTGTATTTTAAGACTGTTTCACTCCTTCTGATTGCATAACCATGCAGTGCTGCCCAAGCTCGTGTCCTACAGAGATTTTAGGACACTTCCTTCTGAATCCTACTGTCACATATATGCTACTCTGGAGAAGTAGGCCTCACTTCTCGCACCCGGATGGAGGTTAGTTGGAAAAGTCACCCGACACACCCCCTGCCTCTCCTGCCACCATCATGAGGATACCTTAAAAATCAGGTTTTTGCAGTTGGTTTCACGCCACCTCCTTCGCTCTCATGGTTCTCTCCTTTATTAGCTCTATCGGTTTTTTTTTTGACCATGCACTGTCCTGGCTTCTCCCCATTCCCGTGCCACTTTTACCGTGGCCAGCCATGCATTCCCCATCAGCCTACCAGCCCTGATATGAAGAGTAGAGGAAATCTCTTTCCTCGGCTGTAACCTTCAACCTCTCACCTCCAGATTTCCTGTTCCCCGTTTCATCCTCGCCCTCCGACAACCCTGACTCAGCGTCAAGCATCATGCCAGACAGAAACCAACCTTCCCTGCTACACATCACTGGAGGTCCTGGGTCTGAGAGAGAGGTTGGATGGCACGCATCCGCAACAGGCCATCCACAGCGACTTCTGGATGTCCGGGTTTCGGAACGCATAGATGATGGGGTTGATCACAGAGCAGCAGGTAGCCGGGAGGACCGTGGCGTAGGTGTATATTACGGGGTAGCTAGAGTCGGCCACTATGGAGTACATGGCAAACGGCAGCCAGCACGCCCCAAAGGCACACAAGATGGCCGACAGTGTGGAGACGCCTTTGGTGGTGGAGATGGCCACGAACTGGTGCTGCACGGCAATCTGCTGCGCATGGCGGAAGGCGATCTTGCAGATCTGCAGGTAGAGCTGCATCATCAGGGCGAAGACCAGCAGGAAGGTGACGGCGAGCGCCACGGCGTTGTTTTTGGTGACGGGTCGGCAGATGCTGCACGTGGACTCGTCCCTCAGACAGTTCCAGCCGAGCGCCGGCAGCAAGCCGAGCGTTAGGCATGACACCCAGATGAAGACCACCATCACGTAGGTGAAGGTGACTGTCCGCTCAGTGTGGTAGGTCAGGGCGTTGTACAGCGACAGGTAACGGTCCACTGTGATGGCAAGGATGTTGAGGACGGAGGCAGAGAAGGCCGAGATGAGCAGTCCAACCGACAACAGCGTCACAAACTCCACCGAGCTGTCGACCAAGTAAGTGAAGACAAAGTTCAAGATGAGGCCCAAGCCGGCGAGAAGGTCCGCCACCGCCAGCGATCCAATCAAGATGAACATGGGAGCCCGGAGAGTTGGCGTGTAGAACAGCACGGCGATCACCAGAGCGTTCTCACAGGAGATGAGCGTCCCGGTCACGCAAAGTGCGATATCCCAGGGGCTGACTTCCTGGATGGCTACAGCGGTGGTCGCCGGCTGGAGGTCAGGGGTCAGAGTTCGCACGACAGGTTCGGAGGAGGAGTTGGAAGGGTCCTCAGCCAGGCTCCAGGAGGTGGAGGAGTCGAAGGGGTCGAGGGGGGAGGAGGAGTTGAGGCTGCTGCCGCTGCCGCTACTCATGGCTGCTGCGGCCAGGGAGAGAATCATAGCTGGAGAAACGAGAGGAAGAGGGAGGGAGGAAGGAAGGAAGGAGTCAGTAAGTTCAGGAGTGAGAGAAGTTTGTAATGGGGGGAGGAGAGATGGGAAAAAGACAAGAGCGAGATGAAAGGAAATCAGAGATGGGAAAGAGCAGCGAGGAGGGAAGGGGAGGAGAAACGAAGGAGGAAGTTGCAGTCGATAATATGTAAGAGAACGGGGAAATGTTCAGACAAGGGGGATGATAAAATATGCACAACAGAGAGCCAACGGAGGGAGTTGGGAAGGAGGAATGAGGGAGGAGAGAAAGAGAAGATAAAGAAGTATGAGTGGATCAGGGGTTGAGTGGAAAGTGAGGAGGGTAGGAGTTCAGAAAAGGGCAGCGATGAAGTCTCGAAAGACAGGAAAGTTTGAAGATGGACGGAGCAGAGAGGAAGAAGAGGTTGTGGAAAGGGGAAGAAGGAAACAGGACAGGAGACAAGAGTTGAGGACAAAACAAAGGAGGGATGCAGGGAAGAGAAGGACAAGGAGAAGAAGGGGGTGTTAACACCTACCCCCTTTGGATCAAGGGAGCAAAAGAGACACCTTTCACCCGTCCATCCGCCCATTCATTCATCCATTCATGAAAACAACTCTTGACCCCAAGCACGCACGTCACCAGCAGCTCCCACGCACCACGCTGACAGGTAATTAGCAGCAGCCGCACAATAGCAGGTGTGGACACGCACATACACAGGAGGGAAAGAGGGGGAAAGTAATCCGTTACATGACAGAAATAATCCTTCCATTTTGGCTCCAAAGCAACGTGACAGCACGAGCATCCCACACGCACCAAATAAACAATAAATAAACAGCCAGCAAAGCTTCAGTGTGGTGCATCCCTACCTATAGGACGCCAGGTACTGGAGACGGTGTTCAATTTCCTCCCAGTCAAAACCATCATCAACAAATTCTATTTTTAGAGCATCTCTAAAAATGGTGCATGACGTCCTGGGGCACGGCGCGGTGGTAGCTGCTGTCCTATTCACCGGTGGCGTGTATGAGCGCGTGCCCAGACATGCGTGCGTGAGTGCGTGTGCGCCCGCATCTTTTAATTCAGATTCTGATCCACATATGCCGCTGCAGCCGCACGCAGACACGATATAAAAAAAAATCCGGCACAGGCTAATTTTAGCTCAGCCAGTCGAGCTGCCAGCGCGCGCGCTCGCGCCAAAAAGGATGTGGAGCTCCATTCACAAAAAAATCTCTCTCCCCTCTCTCACACACACACACACACACACACACACACACACCTCCCACCTCAACCTCTCCACACACCCTTCCTCCTTCACCCCCCGCCCCCTTTTTTATTTTTCATCTCTGCTCTTTCATGCTCCCGTGCACGCACGCACACATGCACGCGCGCACACACCGTCAATGACTGCAAACGGCCGGGGAAGGTCACCACCATCCCCACCACCTCCTCCACCTCCACCAAAAGCCCCGCAGCTGAGGGGCTCACATCCCTGCGGTAACGGGAGCTCGTGCAGCTTTCTCAAACCCCGTCACGCGCCCTCACACCGCCGTGAGTGTGTGTTTTAGCCATAGAGAGAACAATAAATACCTGGATCGGTTTCATTCAGCTGCAGCAGTGCAGTCCCTGAGCCAGCGCGAGAGAGGAAGGAGGGAAGGGAGGGAGGGAGGAGGGATGGAGGGGAGACCACGCCACAGAGACAAAAAGAGGAGAGAAAATTACCAGCTCCGTGTCTTCGTCTTCCCCCCTGCAGGAAACCAGGACGCCTCGCGTGTCCTCTCTCCTCCACTTTATGTGTGTATAGGTATATTTTTATGGTCTCTTCTTCCAGGGTTTCCCCCCCTCTCGTTCTCCCCTGTCAGCGGCGCGCGCTATATTCCTCGGTTGGCATGGTTATTAGCCTTCTGTAGGCAGCTCCGTCCTCGCGCTGCACATCCTCGGCCCCTCATTGGACGCGCTTGTCATTCTCCTCGTCTGACGTAAGAAGTCTCCGCTCCTCCAGTCACCGTCATCATGGTCGGTGTGTGAATCACGGAGAGGGAGAATGAATTCATAAATTCACCTTCGGGAGAGGAAACTTAGTTTTATTATTATTTCTATTTATATTTCCAGTATGTCGTTAGTGATGTTATTAGGATTATTTTCAGGTTAAGATAAGGATATGTTACTAAATCTGCTCTCAGCACGTGTATTGAATGGCTGTGCTATAGTGAATGACGACATTTACATAGAACCATTTTAGGGTAAACTCATTTCATTTGTCACTGAAAAATAGTGATGTATGTATTTATATTAAGTTATATCTTAAAAGTTTTGGTATATACTAGGGGTGGGAATCGACGATACAATATTATCACCACACTTGAGTCATGATACAATATTATTGCGATTTAAATATGTTGCAATACTTTTTGAGCTTTACACTGATGATGACTTTACAATGATAATTTATACCTAATATTTATAATTATGACTTTTTGTCTAGTCATTTTATCAACTTTTATTGTATATTACAGAATTGTTTGACTTTAAGATCTATGGATACATTGCTGCGACCTTTTGTTTGTTTTGCATTTTGAATTTCTCCTAGCTATTTAGGATTGGTAGGACTCCATAAGTATAAAAAAACAAAACACTGGCGATGATATTAAAGTCTCAATGTCCTCAAACGGGACAACAATAAAATAAAAGTAAAAATAAAAAAAGTACATACATACATACACTGTGACCACTTTTGTGTTGGGATCAGCTGCAGACTGACTTGGCAGAGATGGCTGCCATCTTGTTTTTACATGGATTAGTGTATTGTGCTCTTACTACCACTAGATGGCACAAAAAGTGTCCACGTACGAGGACAACAGGTCTAAGTTAAGTAGATTGAAGTATAAGGTCAAGTAAACCCAAAATATGACAAATGAGGACGCAGGGTCTCATATAAAAAGTTATATAAAGTTTTGGTATGTACTCTGGGTAGGAATCACTAGAGGATCCATGATATGATATTACCATGATACTTGAGTCATGATACAATATTATTGCGATTTAAAAACCTGTTGCAATATGCTAGCATTAAAATATGTGCAATTTATTACCTTTTTTCAACTGTAAATAATGTCAACAGAAAGCTCTGTTAAATCTAATACGAACATTCCTACCTAGTGGACTGGAAAAGCAATTGATTATATTATTCTAGTAGGCTACCTGAAGTTTAATTTGTATTGTCATATTGATAATTTATATACCAAAAAAACTGATACTTGACACTGTGTGACGATACTGTAGGCTATTGCTTCACAAAAATATTGCGATACTATGCTGTATCCATTTTTTTCCCCCACCCCTAGTATATATATGATGATGAGGGACATGTGGGGAAAGTCATTCCATTTATTTTGAAAGATAAAAAATATTTTTCCCCTTTACAGTAAAAAGTTCAAATTCGACCTGATGCAGACCCTACACCATCACCTACGCACGTTGCCTACATTGTTGTGAGCATTTATACTTGTGTGGTGGTGTGTCTGTGTCACTCTGCAGTTACACCTCCAAAACACTAGTTGTCAGTGGGGTTTCTGTGACGTGCTGTAAAGTTTAGTTGATTCAAAACACACATTAAACACACATTAAACAGACAAAGCACTTGTCTTTATCTGGACATATTTTCCCCACAAATACAACATGCTAATGTTATTAGCACAAGCCTATGGTATTTTCCCTTGTATAAATTAGCCCAGCAGCTAGCAGACTTTTCCTCTACTCATATGAAGCCAGGGACAACAGCAACATTTAAATTAGGCTCCATTACAACTCACAGGTTTAACTAGCAAAACAACTGTCTTATCCTTAACGTATTTTCTAAACAAATACAGCATACTAACATCATTAGCACAAGTCTATGGCATTTTACATTGTATAAATTAACCTAGCAGCTAGCAGACTTTTCCTCTACTCTAACATTATTAGCAAGTTTGCTGGGGGAAGGCATCCTGAAATAAAAACAATTGTCCTTAAAGGAAAGGCTAGACGGCCTCTAGATAATCCAGTAATGGGTCAGGGTTGGGATTTTAGTTTCTTTGATTTGGTTAGATAGCTCGTTTTGTAGCTTGGAGGCTCGTTGCCCCTTTACAAGAGTTTCATTTCTGTGCTACAATAACAAAATTGGCCACTCTACCAATATATGTCTCCCAACTGTGTGCTGGTTTATGCATCATCATCCTGTACATGCTAAAATCATATCCAAATACTGACTCTGTTCTTAAGTGGGGCATCTTCCCCCTGTCTTACCTTATTACTGGTTATATATATGTGAATACATGTGGTGGTGTGCCCATCCACACACACACACAGTGCATCAAACAGTGACTGATCACTCCACAGCAGCTCGTGACTTTTCCCTCCCCCCTAAAATTCCTTGTAGGTGAAACCTCCTATCTCAAACATTGCGTCACCAGGTGTAAAGAAAACCCAGCTGTGAAGCACATTTCCTAAATGTTCTACCAGCTTCTGATGCTGCATTGTGTGTGTGTGTGTTTGCTTATGGTCCGCAGCCAGTCTGACCAGCTACACAGCCATACGGATGGTGGTTATGCAATCTCGGAGCGCTGCTGGGTATCCCACTGCATTACTCACGCGGGGCGCACGTGCACGCGCACACACATACGTATAGCAGCCATATGTGTCGCCATGCATGAAGGAGGAAGAGCCGGCTGTGCAGTGTGTAGCAGCTTTGCTCAGACAGCAGTGTGTGTGTGTGCGGGGGGCTGCTGCACATCATCTGGGGCCTGAACACAGAGCTGTGCAGGCTGGATGTTGGAGTTATGATGATTTAGATTGACTGGACAGAGTGAGCAGTGTGTTAGGTGTTACCAGTTAGTATTCATTTAGTGATCTGTGATTCGGCACGAACCCTCACAAACCTATTAAATATGTATGATCACATCTAATTGCAACAGTGAAACTAAAATAAAGATATATTTACACTATAAGGATACTATAGACCTACTATATAGTGGTACAATTGCATTTCCTATGTAAATGTTATAACATCTCAGCTGAGAATTACATTGTGACTCATAGTGAGTGGAGATCTTATATACTCACATATGACTATACATTTAATTTATGCATCCCTCTGGGAATATTAACCCTAAGAGACCCACCATGTAGCGTTTCTTGTATTTTTAGATCTCCGATTTCTTTATTGTCAAGGACCGGGCTTATACATAGAAATAAGTATATGTACAGTACAGGCCAAAAGTTTGGACACACCTTCTCATTCAATGCGTTTTCTTTATTTTCATGACTATTTACATTGTAGATTCTCACTGAAGGCATCAAAACTATGAATGAACACATGTGGAGTTATGTACTTAACAAAAAAAGGTGAAATAACTGAAAACATGTTTTATATTCTAGTTTCTTCAAAATAGCCACCCTTTGCTCTGATTACTGCTTTGCACACTCTTGGCATTCTCTCCATGAGCTTCAAGAGGTAGTCACCTGAAATGGTTTCCACTTCACAGGTGTGCCTTATCAGGGTTAATTAGTGGAATTTCTTGCTTTATCAATGGGGTTGGGACCATCAGTTGTGTTGTGCAGAAGTCAGGTTAATACACAGCCGACAGCCCTATTGGACAACTGTTAAAATTCATATTATGGCAAGAACCAATCAGCTAACTAAAGAAAAACTAGTGGCCATCATTACTTTAAGAAATGAAGGTCAGTCAGTCCGGAAAATTGCAAAAACTTTAAATGTGTCCCCAAGTGGAGTCGCAAAAACCATCAAGCTCTACAACGAAACTGGCACACATGAGGACCGACCCAGGAAAGGAAGACCAAGAGTCACCTCTGCTTCTGAGGATAAGTTCATCCGAGTCACCAGCCTCAGAAATCGCAAGTTAACAGCATCTCAGATCAGAGACCAGATGAATGCCACACAGAGTTCTAGCAGCAGACCCATCTCTAGAACAACTGTTAAGAGGAGACTGTGCGAATCAGGCCTTCATGGTCAAATAGCTGCTAGGAAACCACTGCTAAGGAGAGGCAACAAGCAGAAGAGATTTGTTTGGGCCAAGAAACACAATGAATGGACATTAGACCAGTGGAAATCTGTGCTTTGGTCTGATGAGTCCAAATTTGAGATCTTTGGTTCCAACCGCCGTGTCTTTGTGAGACGCAGAAAAGGTGAACGGATGGATTCCACATGCCTGGTTCCCACTGTGAAGCATGGAGGAGGAGGTGTGATGGTGTGGGGGTGTTTTGCTGGTGACACTGTTGGGGATTTATTCAAAATTGAAGGCACACTGAACCAGCATGGCTACCACAGCATCCTGCAGCGACATGCCATCCCATCCGGTTTGCATTTAGTTGGACGATCATTTATTTTTCAACAGGACAATGACCCCAAACACACCTCCAGGCTGTGTAAGGGCTATTTGACCAAGAAGGAGAGTGATGGAGTGCTGCGGCAGATGACCTGGCCTCCACAGTCACCGGACCTGAACCCAATCGAGATGGTTGGGGTGAGCTGGACCGCAGAGTGAAGGCAAAGGGGCCAACAAGTGCTAAACACCTCTGGGAACTCCTTCAAGACTGTTGGAAAACCATTTCAGGTGACTACCTCTTGAAGCTCATTGAGAGAATACCAAGAGTGTGCAAAGCAGTAATCAGAGCAAAGGGTGGCTATTTTGAAGAAACTAGAATATAAAACATGTTTTCAGTTATTTCACCTTTTTTTGTTAAGTACATAACTCCACATGTGTTCATTCATAGTTTTGATGCCTTCAGTGAGAATCTACAATGTAAATAGTCATGAAAATAAAGAAAACGCATTGAATGAGAAGGTGTGTCCAAACTTTTGGCCTGTATTGTATGTAAATAAATATACATTGATGTTTTCAGCACCTTGCCAAGACTGAGCCGGGCGG